GAGTTTACAGATTCATTAAAAACTCTTGCTAATGGGCTTGCAATTTCATGTGCCAGTTCCTTTAATATTCTTGGATGAAGATTATCTGGGTCCCCTGATTTAGTCCCATTAAGCTGTTCGAGTTTGGCTTCCCTCACTAACTAGGGAAGAACCTGTGTAGATTCAGAAATGCAGATCCTGCATCTTCTAATAACCGAGGGGACGGGAATCCCTTACCCAGCGAGGTCACTGCCTCGTAGTTCTCCTGCATGACGTCCCTGTAGAGGGCTCTCTGAGCGGGGTCCAGCAGAGCCCCCTGCCCCTGGGTGAAATACACAGCCACCTCCTCGAAGGTCACCAGCCCCTGTAACAACAAAGACCAGAGATACAGAATCCCACCCCCATCCTCAGAGCAGCCAGGAGGCTTCAGGGGGTGGGGTGAAGGTGAGAGCTCCTTGTCGCCCCCAGAAGACGGAGGTGGGCAGGGTCTTCTCATTTACCATACGCCTGCCAGCCACAGGCTGATGAGCAGGGAACAGGAATCCCAACAGCTTCCCTTCGTATTTCACAGCTGCCTCTGGCCAGTGGGTTCAGGCTCCAGCACTGGGAGTCTGGTCAGTGTTCCCAGCCCTGCCCAGGGGGGAGTTTCCTGGTTCAGAAAAGAGGGAATGTCCCCCATCCTCCCCAAAAACAGGCCTGTTCAGAAAATCAGGTCCCAGGTTGAACGTGTCAGGGCAGGTTTATCACACCCTGTCCCCTCCCTGCCTCCCCCTGTGTTTTTCCTGCCCCTCCCCCTCTACAACAACTCCCCTCCCCTGCAGCTCCCTGAAAATCCCCTACCTGAGCTGGCTCCATCACAGCCATTTCTTTTCCCCGTCTCCTGGAAGACGGGACGATCTGGAGCAAAATCGGGATGCGATTCTTCAGCCTGTCAGGGCGAGAGGGGTGATGGGGGAGGTTTCAGAAGGGGCTTGAGTCCATTTCACACCCCAATTCCCCCCAGGCCCTCTCCCTGCAGACAGATGCTCTGGACTCTGCCACGCTGGGAAGAAACCGTTAGTTTATTACCATCCAGGCCAGGCCTCTCCCAGCAGAACTAAACCTACTGGGGACACTTTTAAACTCTCCCCATAATAGCATCTCTGAGCTGAATGCTGGAAAAAGAGCAGAATCAAAGGAGCCACTTTTGGGGATCCCCCTGACATTGGCCCCAAGGGGAACACATCCCCCTAGCAGTGCAGGAACTCGGCTGGGACAGGAACTGGCTTTTGCTCTGTCAGCTCCTCCCCTTGTTCCCAGGAGAGTCAGTATGCCCAGGGGGTGCAGGGAATGGATCCGGGCAGAGCTAGGAGTTGGGAACCTCCCACCCCACTTCCCGCTCCTGCTGCCCCTTCCAGTCTGGTCAGTCTCTGTTTCTATCACCTTCCCTCTCTCCCCTGCCCTCTGCCCCAGAGAACTGATTACTCTCCTGTTCCCATGGGCATTTGCTCTCATTAGATCAGCGGCTGCCACTGCTCACAGGAGTGTGAGTTGGGGTGTGTCTGTGTGAGGGCAGCAGCTCTGGGACTCACAGACACCAGGAGCAGAGATGGGGCAAGGAGGGAGCGCTTGTGCAGTCACTTTACTGCCCGGCCCCAGCCGGGTCTCTCCCCATCACCTGCAGGCTCCGGCTCAGGGGCTGGTGTCGGCAGAGCCCAGGGCTGCCCTAAGGGGCCTGCTTCCAGCCACTGGAGCCTGTCCCTACCTGGGCTGGGCACAGAGAGGGCTTTAATGAAGGTCTCACCCCACCACAGTCAGGGCCGGCTCCAGGCACCAGCCGAGCAAGCTTGTGCTTGGGGCGGCAGATTCCCCGGGGCGGCATTCCTAGGGGAATCTGCC